TCAAAATTAATATCTTGGTTTTCAAAATTATTAGGGATTGAAATAGGCTTGAGAAAATCTTTTTAAATTATTAAGATCTTGGATGTTCGGAAATTTTTTACGAATATTGTGGGCTTGAACCTAGATTGGGATTTTTGATGTTAAATGTTAGTCTTAGGTTAATATTTTTTATAAATAAATATATTTTACCCGTAGACTAATTGGTAAATCAGAGATTTCCCTTTCATTAATTATAAATTTAATATCTCTGGGCTTGGCTAATATTGACCCATCTACTGGTTTACATTATTTTCATGTTTGTTTAATTTCAACATTAGTTTATTTATATTTTTGCCTATTTGTCTAGGCTAACCCAACCTTAATCCCTCACATTGCTACAAAACAATGATGAATCTATTAAAGATAAGCAAAGAAAATAATGACGAATAAACAAACGCATTGCCCATTCTAGAGTTACTGGTAGCCAAAATAATAAAGAACTACGCTTGAAATTAACTCCTCTGGAGGTTTATTTTGTTTTCTTTATCTTATGTTTTATATTTATATGTTTATTTTATTTTCACCCAGTTGCCTCCAAATGATATTTCTATCACCACTACCACAATCCCTATGCCACCTCCGCCTATTTTTTAACAAATATAAGCATTCAATTCCATACTATCATTCACTTCACTAGGAGTTATTATAAATATTACTTTATCCGATTCTCTGAGAAACTTTCATGAATATTTAGAGGAATGTTCAAACTTGAATGTGCAGTACGGCCATTTTCATCAACTTTATTAATGGAAAAATATGCAGTAGTTCTGTCGTGGCCTTTATAACAATTCTCACTACCTTTTTATGGTTGAGTTAACATTGTCGTTCATGATTCTATTTTAGAGGGGGCTACCAATGCTCTGACATTGACGGAAATATCATTTTGCGTTCTTCTTTTACCAGTATCCCAAGGCATAGGCATATGCCTCATCTTTATCAGGACTTAATGTGTTTTGTACACTGTTTTGGTAATCCGTCATTACTTTCATCTACAACCCTAAATGATATGAAATTGTACATTTATTATTTCCTCTCCAGACGACCGCCCAGATTTATTTTGTCGCTTTTTCCATTAAAAATAAAAATGTCAACAAGGATTTGCTCTTAATTTCATCAAATACACAACATAATAATTATTCCTCATTATTTTTTAAAAAAATTAGCTTAAATTTATGTCAATAAAAAATATATAAATAATTTGCATATAAGTTTCATTAGTGTTTAATGGCATTTTTGTAATTTAAATAGATAGCATTTTTTTTTACTTAACATAAAAATATACACAAATAATTTGGGAAATGCAAGACATACATTAAATTTATCCAAAAGGCTACAATAACCCTATATAATAAACAACAATTTTTTTATATATAATTTTATTTGATCATATTACCAAAAAGTATAAGAGTCGGTTATTTTTATTTTATTTGTCATAATTCTCAATAAGTGGTTTGCCCAGTCCTTCGCAATTTCCCTTAATAGGGAATTCACATGTTTTTTTTACATCTTAAACTAATTATTAAATCAGATATTTCCCCTTCATGTGATGATAAATCAATTAAAAATTTAACTATCTCCGAGGTGGGAAAAAATTTTCAAAATTATATTGGATACGACTGGGCTTGGAACCTCAAAATTAATATTAGCTTGCACCTGACATGGGAATATCTTTTACAAATTATTAAGGGTTGAGCTGGGCTTGATAAACTTTTTTATAATTATATGCTTCCTAATATTGTGAGCTTGGACCTGGCAGGACATCTATCGTAAAAAAATGAATAAAAATCTCATCCCGTCATTATTGACGGGCTTTCTACTAGTTTATCTTATTCAAATAAATTAGTCACTAAACATACTCATTCATATTGATTCGCTCTACGTCTACATGGCAGGATTTTCACTGGATGCAAACCTCCCTCAAAAACTTACGCCTATCCCGATAAACTTTTCCCCGCTTTTCTACATTATTAATTGCACCTATTTAATCATAACGGTACCCCTTCATAAATTTTAAAAATAAAAATAATAACTTAAATTATTTTAGCTCTACTACCAAATATCAAAATATTGTGAATATAAGAGTGATTTTTTAGATCATGAATTCAATTTAATACCTACAATGAATGCATTATTATAATATATTATTTGGCATGAATATGAGTTTTCTGAAAATGTTTAATTTAAAAGGAAGCAGAAAGTTTTATATGGAAAATAATGTCTATGATTGTATGCAGTACATAGATTTGACCGGTGAATAACAATATCATTGTATTATAGGTCTGTAATAAAAGTATTAATTTTTATAGCAATATATTTTGTCCTATTTTATCTAAAATTTAAAAGATAACCTGCCAATAAAGTTATACTACCTCCTACAATTCAAAAAAATTTGATGCAAACTGTTGCCCCACCCGTCTCATGTGGATGTTAATGGCGATACATAAATTTATATTTTTCAAATTTGCCTCCTTAGCCTCATACCAATATATATTATATTTTTGTGTAAACATTGATATCTCGTAATCCATCGCCATTTGTTACTCACCTCACCACTAGTTGTGATTCATGGACATTTGTGATTCCTTGCCATTTATGATTCCCAGATTTTACTCCCTCCCCCCTTTATGCTGCTAAACTCCTCGATTAAGATTTTAGCCAAAAAATATCATGTAAGCCTCGAGTTTTTTCAAATAGAGGTCCAAACTTTTTTTACCGTTTTTGAACAGAATCTCCGGTCTTACATACTATTATTTTTTCTAAATTTTAATCAAACCGTTTTTAAAAATCGGGCCTTTTAACAACACTACACCTCAGGCAAGGCCAGGGCGACGCCCTATTTCATGGAATATTATAACCTGATATAATATTGCAAAATCGGATTCAGAAAATATATGGCGAATATGATTAAATTATCGTAATAAAACCAATCAGAATTTTAAATTTAAGAATGAAAACTTGTCCATATACATTAAGGGAAAAATAAATTCAAAAAAGCATTCTAATTTATGGAAGAATAAGAATTAATACTATTATTAATTTATATTATCATTCCATATTCACCTGGCAGACTAACATATGGCAATGATCACATTTAACTTATTTATTATTTATCTTATAATATAAATTTATGACTATAAGGTTTATTGGCTTCATTGCTAATTAAAAACCTAAGTGATTGTTCAGAGGGGTCTTGCATAATCGGGTGTTCTCCTCAGGAAGGGCCCTAGACCAATATGCTAAATGGATGAATTAATATTACTTTGTTACTTTTTAGAAAAACATGTCATAAAATAAATGGTATTGAAATTTTATTATTAAATATAAACGTTATCTCATTAATTATTTCCAGATTCAACATTGGACACTAGCAAATGCATATGAATGGCTTATAAAAGGTACTCACAGCTTAAACAAATTGACACTATCCTTAATTCTTATAATATATAAATAATTTTTAATAAACTGGATAAAATATATTTATTATCTTTTAAATTTTTTGTTTACCAATATAAATACCAAAATGTTGAATTATAAATTTTAGACTCAACTTATTACTCAGGAAAATTTTTGAATATTAACTATATAAAAAGGTACTTTTGAGATAAAAGGAATATTAATAAATATGTTTTTTGGAATAAAAATTTAAAGTCATAAAGGGAAAGAATAATTGAAGATGTGCTATTTTTGATATAATTTTTTACATTCATATATTGTATTGATTAGTTTATACTAAAAGTGATAAATGATTGTAAAAATGCAATATTTTGTTCATTTGTACAATATAGTTATGTTAAATTTTATTTTAGCCACTTTACCCTTATGCTAATCCAATTTACCATGGGTATGTGATAAAATGGCATATTTCAAATAATATCACAGCTCCTAAAGTATTTAAGGTAGAGAGCTACACTTTTTTTTATTTTGTAGTCAGGTGAAGGATTTGACTTGACTGCATCATATAAATCTAGAATTTGTCCTGTTTAACTATGTTTCAAAACTTTATGGTAAAAATGCAAAATACTCATTGTTTTACCCTGGTCTCCTACAATCTACCAAATGAATTAAAATAGTATATAATTAATAGAGACCTGCAGGCCTGGCCCAGGTATACAGGCTGAGCCATATTTTAATTTTAAATATACACAGGGCCACCCAGGCTAAGCCTAAAAAAATTTAAAAAAAATACCTGGGCCAGGCCATATATTTTAAATCACCATTATTAGCTATAAAAATTAAAAGAATATATAAAAATATTATGGGCTAGGCCTGAAAACATAAAAGCTAGGTGAGACAAAATATTTTTTTTAATCCCCAGGCCAAGGTGTGCACCTCTGCAGTCTGATAATTAACACAAAACAACAATAAAATTTTCAAAATAAATTCTTCCAGCTCCTTTTTAGTTAATGTTAGTCAAAATTCAGTAACTTTTAATTTTTTCTTTAGAATGGTCACTATACTGGTTAAAGAACCATTAGGATTATAAAGCATGAAACCATAGATTTTAGAATTAGTGCTTAACCTTTTCAGTGAACTATAATAGTAATAAAAGTAATAAATTACATACTATAAAAAGAAAAATTAATATGTAATTATAATTTTTCGTAAGAGGGTGGCAAAAAGCTAGATAAATTGAAGTTTGGGAGTGAAGCCACTAAAACATTTAAATAACACTCCTTAAATAAATCCTGGCTACACCACTAATATCATCTAATCTTCAAATTGAAAAGAATTAGCTGTTTTCTGCTCATATACATAAGATGTTTGTCAATTTTTTTTGAATATAAATATGATGTATTTTATCTTAAAAGGTAATTTAATAATTGAAAATAAAATCAGGCACATTTGGGTAGAACAGATAAAAATTTTAGTCATTTATATTCAAATCGTAATTAAACATTTAGTAATATTAAATTTTAAAAAATATAGGTGATATTTTTTTTAATCAGCCATAATAAAAAATTTTAAAAAAAATTTACATAAATCTCTCAATGTAAAAAGAAAGCTTAGTGCTAAAAAAATATTTTTTTTATATTGATCATATATATTAATCATTTATAATTTTAATTATATATATATATATATAATAGTTATATATAACTTAACCAAATTTTTAATTACATATAAATGGAAATACTTATATAAATAATATATGAAAACCAAATTATGAATTATGTCCAAGGAAATGAGATAGGTGTTGGATTTTGTAAATATGACATTACAACCGCAAATATGGATAACCTTTAATTAAACATATTAAATTGCATTTTATAAAAATGCTAACATGAAATTACTGACAATCTGCTTAGTATCATCAGATGTTTTTGCATTGGCAAAACTAACAAATGCGCAATAAAATGCAATCCAAGAACTCCATTTTATCTAAAAAAATAGTATTTATATTTATACTGGTGCGTTTATTTACTCTCATCATCAATCCAAACATGCTAAAAATTAGGCCCAATATATTCATATAATCATGTAAGGGGTCATCGGGTCTAGCGTAAGCTCCACTGCTGTTAGAAATATGCTTGTATCTGACAAAATATTTATAAAAACTACCTTAGAATTAGATTACCTCAAAACCTTATTCCTTTTTGGAGTTTCGTTCATAAAATCTTATTAATGTTTGAACGAGCACTTTTGTAAAAAATATAAAACAATTAATGAATGCTAAACTATGAAGTACCAAAAATAATATAATTTTGTCTTCCATTACTAAACGCACCATAAGCTGGGAACAAAATTATATTTTAAAAGCCTGTTCAATCTTCATTGAACTATCAAGGTTTCTAATTTCATAAAATCTATGCTTAGAACTCTCAAATCATATCAAAATTATTTTTATTTAGATTGTGATCAAAAATATATTACATATTTTAAGATTAGCTAGACTTTATAATTTAGTAGAAGAAATATAGACATATTCCGACCAGAATATGACACTTAGACTTTTTTTTTGAAAGCTTTTGTCGGATAACACCTAAAACATTCCAGATAAAATAAGGAAGAAAATAAGGAAGAGTTAAATAAGCATTTAAAATATTTTTAATATAAAAAACAATATAAATAATATAAGCCCAAATAGGAATATACAAAATTGATCAGTACCGCGAATACTTGTATCTAAGATACAAGATCCTTTTGTATCTTGTACTCAGTATCTTTTTGACATTTTTAATAAGATACTAGTATTTGTATCTAAGATCCTTTATTCTGAAAAGAGTCTTGTATCTTTTTCATTTTTTTGACAACAGATACAGGTTCATGTTTAATATTTTACATATCTCAGTATATATCTTCTTTTCTTTTAGAATCATTTTTACTTTTTTAGTCATATTTTAAATATATTGACAAAAATTAGCTACAACACCATAAGAGAATAAGTAAAGATTATATTTTATATATAAATGTAACTCGATAAAATATTATTACCAATTTAATGTAATATTTTTTAATTTGTGGTATGATTAACACTCATGGTAGTGAAGAAGAAGGTGGTGAAATTTAATTTATGGAAATTATTCTCCTAATCAAATTCTTAAAATTTTTAAATACTTTTTGCAAATTATTATTTCAACTCCAATATAAAAATACTAGTCTTCCTTCCCTATCTTTGCTAAGAATGGGCTAATACTAATATTAAAATGGCTGATTACTATAATTAGTTCATCATTAAATATTTTTATTAATTATTGTTATTTTTATTAATTATTGTAAATATTCATTCTTATTATATGCGTATGTTATGTTCTTCACAAATAAATAATAAAAACTGTATTTTATAAATTATTCTAATTTGGTAATGATAATTTAAAAGTATCTTATATTTAAGATACTCTAATTTATTAAAGATACAAGTATCATTTATCTTTTTGATATTTTGAAGAAGATACTAGTATCTGTAAGATTCATTTTTTTTATTCTAGATTCTTATTCCGGAGGACCTGTCTAACTCTGGGATTATATTTATAGTAGTATAAGATAAAATGGCTTAAAAATCAGAATCAGAAATACATTCATTGGAAGATATGTGAATATCTTTATTAATTGTTCCCATTTTATTGAATTCTGCGATCAGGGGAGGGGCGACTGGCCATAAGACAAGTGAACATTTAGCCCACGACAGTGAGAGTCGATTCTTGAGGCCGATCAGTAAAAAATGAAAAAAGAGGCCGATTCGAAAAAAATGTAAAAATATTTATTATTTCTTTTTATCATATAAGTTATGACTTTTCTCTTATCATATTCCTTTTCATTTCATATAATAAAAGTTGTCATATTTCCTTTTTAGCATTTAGAATATCATATATATTTTTTGAGGATTATCATTTAGATATTGCTATTTTATAGGTGTTATACATTTTTATATGTTATTTTTTAATTTATTATTTAAATATAATTAACTTTAAAATAATAAATGCAATATCCGCATACAAATCCTACCGAGGATCAGACCCTAATGAAAAACTTATCATAGATACTGAAATAAACCACAGGAATTTCATTGAGGTGATACAAATCATATCAAAAAAGGATAAAATATTTAGAAACCCTTTAGAAAAGGCTATTTTTAGGAGTAAAAGTAGAAAAGGAAATCTGAAACTTCCCTATAAACCAAAATTCAGGATAAGAAGTTCTCTAATCATTTTATGTCAAACAACCGTTAATAAATTATTAATGCTGTTCTAGTTACAATTATGAATTAAATATTAAAAAAAGGGAGATAGGGTTGGATTGGTAAATATGTGTTGCAATGAATATATTTATATTATTCTATATTTATGCTGTATATTTATTTCTAATGATGAATCAAGATATATGATTCTTTCAATTTATCTTTGTTTGTGAAAATAAAAAAATAATATTTTTATCAGTTCTATCTTCTAAGTTAATATTTTATAATAAAAAAGAGATAATGTTTTCAAATAAAACTTTTAATAATCGGTATATCACAACCTATAGTACAAAATTCAAGTTCACTAAAATACTATCATCGATTTAAGAAAATAAAACTATATAAGAAATAATAAAATCATGTATAATATAAACAAGCGATTAAAGGGATCCCAGCCGATGGCCCCCAAATAGGGTTTTGGGGGAGAAGCCCCCATAAAAATGAGGCCGTAGAAAACATTAGCCCACGAAGCCGTAGCATCGCCCATCCGCCCCTGTCTGCTAGAATTTTATCATGCAGATATTGATTATAACAAATTGAAACCAAATTTCTCATTCTTTCAAGGTGTACTTGATTTCTTATATATAACTTGTGAGGGGGGTGTTCATCGTATACTGTTATGTATACGCTGTAGAGGCGGAGTGACCATAAAACCAGGTGGGCCTTTTGCCCACGAGACCGCGAGAAAATGTTGATTTTTGAGGCCGATCAGAGGAAATTATCAAAAAAGAGGCCGCTTAGAAATTTTTTTTTATTATGTTCACATTATTTTCTCTTATTTTTATTTTTAATGATATCTCTATGATTTGAATATCACATTCCTTGAGAATTGTTATATATTTTAATACATAAAATATCAATAACGTCGCTTGACGTTATTTACCACGTTTCTTTGTTTTTTTTCAAATGAATGAAAACGCTTCTGTTTGATTAGAGTAAGCTAAGCTTTGATTAATTTATTATATTATATACATTGCTTTATTGTAGAAATAACATAGCCAACATTTCCTATTCTTAATTCATTGAAATGAAATAAAATTCAGGTCGATGTATAAGATAAAAGGAAGGATGTTTGGGTGAAACAGAATAATTTATTTGGCCAAAATAAGTTGAGAAGGCTGCAAAAAATAGGTATAGGGTGGAGGGGCACGTGAAAAAGCCCTTAGATGGATTTATGGTAAAGAGAGCATGCTCACAATAACGATAAATGCACTTCAATATATATTGGATAATAAATCACTTGAGGCAAAAACTTGTTAATTAATGTAAATTTAAGACTCTATGTACAGATATAATATATTTAGAAATTTTTGAAATAATGAGGCCACTGTCATATCTTCAAACTAAAAATTAGGTACTTTGTCAGCATGAAAAATGATAGAAGATGCTAAATCTTCTATATCATCGATTCAAAATAAAGCAATAAAATGGCTTCTAATTTAAATGAAACACTTCATATTTAAAGTTCCCGGAGAGTATCAGGGTATAGAATGTTCTGCCAAAAAATTAAATAGAACGAGCGAAGATAATATATAGTGACAAATGCCAAGATGAACGTCCTCAAGAATCGATTGACCTTTACAATATGATAATAACTCCGAGTGTGATAATAAATGTAACAAGTGTTTAAGTATGAAATTCTTGATACAATAGCATACAAATGACACTAATTTATTTTGCACATGAATACATATTAACTTTATCATTTACGCAGGTTAATTGCGAGAGAACATTTAGTAAATTAAAAATTATAAAAATAAGCTGAGAGCTAATATTGACCAAGAAAAATTAGAAGCCTTTTTAATGATGACATTTGAACGAGAACTAGATATTCTTGTATATTTGAGCAAAGGTTCAAAGTTAATGAGAGATTTATTATTGTAAAAATTATATATTTTCTTTATTCTTTAATTTGAATCTTATTAACATCTATTTACAATATGACGGTGCCTGTTTTATAAGTGCAGCAATTTTATTCTCTGTAATATAATATAACTGCAATAATTTTATTCTATGTAATATTGTATAACTGCAATAATTTTATGTGTAATTAATTGATTTGGTATATTGAGTATCTATTTTTTTTATATTTAACATGTGATGTTGTGATTTGATTTTATAGTGAAATATCGTATATAATATAAAATATAGTATAGGTGCAATGAATATTATTTTATAAAGTATTAAATATGATTTTAGATGTGCATTTTAAAAAAAATAAAATATATGATTATCGTGTAATACTATTCATTTTTTTTTATTAAAAATGTAAATCGTTTGAACTTATTTTCAAAAATAAGAAGTAAAAAAAATCGTGTAAGTCGAAGAAGCCATTTAAGGGAACTCGGTCGAAGACCGGGCAAAAGCGGGCCGAAGACCCGTAAAATAGGGGTCTGGGGGCGAAGCCCCCATATAATTGAGGCCGCTATAAAAAAAATGCCCACGAGGCCGTAGCGTAGCCAGTCCGCCCCTGACGCTGAGTGCAGTCTAAAAAAGAAAATGGCCTGTTTTTAAAAAAATATAAGAAATCAACTTATACCTTGAAAGAGTGAGAAATTTGGTTTCAATTTGTTATATATAACAAAATCTGCAAGATTAAATTTTCGCAGAGAGGGGTTGACTGGCGATGCTATGGCTTATGTGGGCAAATGTTTTTTAGCGGCCTCATTTTTATGGGACTTCTCTCCCATAACCCTATTTGGGGGCCATCGGCCGGGATCTCTTTAATGGCTTGTTTATATTATACATGATTTTTATTTCTTATATTTTTTGACAAAAATATCTAAAAACGATGGGTGAAACACAATATTACAGTTATCACATTTTTAATTAGAAAAGACTCATTAAATAAAAATCCCATATAGGAATTGCACATATAAAATCATACTAATTGAACATACACAATTATGCATATAATAAATTATATATTACACATATAAATCAATATTAATTGCACCTATAAAATAATTACTTATTGTACTATAAAATCGACATGTAACACATCACACTGCCCCGAAAAAGACTTATTGTACATATATAATCAGGCATATAAATAATGAATTAAACGAATATTGTATAATTTTTATGCTAATAAATCTCTAATTAATCTCAACTTTAGAGCAAATAAACACATATCCAAGTTCTATTTGCATCGGCAATTCTCTTTCAACGGGCATCAGTAAAATTGTCTCAAATTAACCGTGTTCATATTTGCTCTCAGCTGCTTTTTATAATTTAAAATTACTAGATGTTCTTTAACAACTTACTAATATGTTGGCAAAAAATAGAATAATGTATGCAGCTGTGTGCAGAGTTGGGCAAGAATTACAAATAGCGTTGCGTTACATAAGGTTTTGACAGGATAACTTGGGTCAAGATTCCTCAAAATAAAAATCTAGACAATAAATTTTTTTTGCTCTCCTTTCATTTTATATAAGCTTAATCTTTCCAAAATTATTTTGGTATATTTGTGTAAAATTGTAAATTATATATTTTTTCTGCAATTATTTGATATAACTTGTCAGAGGAAGATTATTGTAATATGTTTTAGAAAATATGTACAAATTTTTAATTGCCAAATAAGTGTTATCTCATATTTCTTTATGGTTAACTTCAACGGAAAAAAGGGCAAATCTGATAAAAACTTGATATTTCACAATATAGCGACTTACAAGTTATATAACAGAGAAAATAACATAGTGACAGTATAAGTAATAAGTTGAAGTAATGAGAATGAGAGATAATGCTGAATCTTATTCCACTAGGAAAAGGTTATTTAAAATTTGGCTGAAAATAAAAATAACAGATAAAAAACGGCAAGAAAAAGGAAAATAAATTCCTATCTTTATAAAAAGTGGATGGGGAATATTCCTAAGGAAATAGGCCATTTTCCTTATGCATAAATTTTAGGCAGAAGGGAGGGCGTTGGAGTGGGGGGATTTTTTTTATTAAACTGATATATTATAGGGAGAATCTTACCATTCCCGTTAGTTGCTTTTGCTTCTAAAAGAACCTTCGCGATTTAAAACAAATAAAACGTATCCAGCTTTGTTCTCAAATTGAGATAAGATTTGAAATCTAAATAGCTTAAATTTTAAGGTATCATAATCAAAATTATTTATTCTAAGTAGAATGTATTTTCCATCTGTCAAAAATATTGGAAATTGAAATAAATGAATCGCTAACTTATTTGCGATTTTTTAATATGTTAGTGGACACGATAAAATCGCCTTAATTTGGACGATATCATTTAAATTAATTATTCATTTGTTATTTAACATGCTAAAATGGCACAATTGAGCACTATTAATGAGTGGCGTAGCCACGAGAGGGGGGGGGTTCGGGTTTGGACCCCCCCAAGCAAATTTATTTTAGATTATCCGTTCAAAAGACTCAAAAGTGACTTTATATCAAATAAATACCATGAATATTTATATTTTTCTGGTTTTGATGTTTGTGGAAGGATATTATATTACTATTGAAAATATTCAGGATAGTATTATTATAGAGTCATACAACACTAATTAAAATGATCAATAATTAGGACTTGAAATAGGATGTCTTCATCCGTTCTTAAACAGACGCTGTCGTTAAATTCGTGGGATGTGAATCTTTTTACTAAAAAAACAATTATGATTTTTAAGATAAACTCGGCCGAAGGCCGGGCAAAAGGGCCGAAGCCCAATAAAGGAGGTCTGGGGGGTGAAGCACCCCAGACTTATGTATGCACCTCCTCTAAGGAAAATTCCTAGATACGCCACTGTAGTATATCACTTATAAAAGATATGTAAATTGACATAAATTAATATTTTTATTATAAAAAAAATCGTGACACTGTTTCCATTTCGATATTCATACAATGAAAGTACGCGTAAAAAAATATATTTTTCGCAATTGATTTTTTACATAAATATTTCGTCGTAATAACAAAATGATATTATATGCATATAATATAAAAACTTATTTACAAAAAATTGTTATTTTACAAAGTCAAGTATATATAATTTATATATAAACAAGTTCATTCATAGTTGCATAATTTTTGTGGTTATGGATTTCATTTGGTTGCATTTCTTCGATCCTTATTACACTTTTTTTCAGAATGAATGGAGATGGAATTCTTATAGTTGAAATAATTTAGTTCTTTGTCAATGATCCTTATGGGTTTAATATCAATTTACAGGATAAAATGAAATTACACACGAGCCTAAATACTGAGTCATGGTTTGATAATATGTGAAGAAAATTTTCTTAGGAGATTACGATTTGCTTAACACATTAATCTTCTCTGGGGTGTGTTTAAAGACTTAAATGTCTCAATAAATTACTTTATTATTTGGCTGGTTAGGGACGGCCGCTAAGCTATCATTCTTTCTGCCTTCGTTGAAACCTTTATTAATTCCTTCTATTTGTAGCAAGCATTCCACTTCGTTATCGTGGGGCGAGGAATGATTGGACATGCCGAAATTAGAATCGTTAGACATTTTGGGGTTGACATGTTTAAAGGTGTTAGTACTATTATTATTATTATTCGTTAAATTATGTATGTTATTCAAATTAGTTACATTGTTGAGGCTACTGTTATTTATTATAAAAGAATTTATGTATTCGGAATGAGTGGATTGATGATTAGAGGAAGAAGAAGAGGCAAAGGATGGTGTTCTAATTATTTTATTGATATTGTTTGTGAGTAAAGGTGATCGATTTTGTTGGGCGTAAGCGTTGCTCGTAAAGTTGGCATTATTAATACGATTGACGTTTGAAAAATGAAATGAATTATTCAAGGAGGGAGAGTAGGATCGGGTATTAATAGGGGAAGGGCTAGCCTTAGCTTGTAACGCGGTCGGCGGTGGCGGATAATATGTAAGTTGCGGTCTCTGCTATAAGAGAAAAATATAAGAGTAATGACCAGTGAGGATTATTGGAAAAGTTATCGAATAAGCATTTAAAGAAAATAATGTAATGTGATGGTGCTAAAAAATAATCAAATTTAATTTTTTCAGTTTTTAGAAAAGACAATTTCAGTAGGTGCTTCCAGTACCATTTTTATTTTAAAAAAATTTAACTTTTAAACTATTTTAGCCTTTTTATTTATTATACCCAAATCAGAACTATCTGAGTTATTTGTTTGTTTGATAATAAATATTAGAATTATACCATTGTTTGCTGAGCATTCCCAGAGAATCGAACTGGATTTACGATTTGGTGGACTTGAGAAGAATTCTGTGAAACAAGATGATGTTGATGAAGAAGCGAATTCGTGTTAGCTAGAGAGAAGTGTGTGTTCGGCAGAGGATTGTGGTGCCTAAGTTTAAAGAAAGAAAAGTTCATTTCATATAGTATATATTTATAATCAATTAATCAGAAATTCAACTTTTTCCCGAATAATATACACATTCTAATTTCTAAGGTTGAAACCTTGAATGGAACTCCATAGTACATATACACTACCAGCCATAAATGACTGCCCACCCTGCATTTTTACATAAAAAAATTAATAAGTTAAAACTTTTTGACTTATTTGGGTAAAAGCGAATTGATTAATTAATTTAAGATGTCGAGACATGTTTAGAAATAAAAAAGTCGGAATTTCTATAAATCTATCTATGAAATTTTAGCCTTTGGAAATAACATGTCAAAAATGACCAATTTGGTACAATAGGGTTCATTAGTTTTTTTTCAGCAATAATTTTAAGCTGGCCATTGTTTTTTGGAAGAAAGTCATTTATCACATTCTAATTTGCTTATTAATACCTATTTTTAATTATTTTAAAAAAAATTCCTAAATTTTTTTTGCTTTTGTTAAGGGAACAAGCATTAAACTTAGTACGAGAGGAAGATAATAGCGTAATATACGTGAATAAATAATATAAAAAAATACGTGGATAAACAATATTAAACAAAGAAAAAAGATAATTGACGTGTAAAAGGAAAAAAATAAATAATAATAAATAAAGGATGAATTGGTAAAAAACAAATATATAAGCGTGGAAAGAAAAACAAACGATGATGTTTTTTTATTATAAAATTTTTTCGATATATGTTATTGATTGAAGAAAAAAGAAATAAAAAGTAAAAGTTGTTTGATTGTTTTTTAAAAAAAATAGAAAAGTATATAATATAGAAATTTTATAGTATTTCAATATAGGATAAATAAGCCAATTTTATAGCTTTAAATCATTGTTTACAGAAACTTTCTGTCTTTTCGACGAAAATGATTAAAAGAAAAGATATTTTTATTCCAACTAGATGCAAAATAATTAATTTACACACATGTGGTAAAAGTAATCGCCGAATTGCCAGAGAATTAACTCTAGCAAGACGAACAGTCGATTGTATACTTAAAAGACGCAACAATAATACAATATCGAATCCAAAGAGGCCTGGAAGACGCCGCAAAACGACTTTAAGCGATGATAGGTATATAGCAAGGATCAGTAAACGCAATCGACGCCTTGTCGCCTCAGAGATAGGTGCGGAGACTAATCTACATTTGTGAAAAGGCGCCTTAGGAGCTTTGAACTTTATGGTAGGGTAGCGGTCAAAAAGCCACTCTTGAGCAAAAAAATAACCTTAAGTGATTAGACTGGGCACGTGGACATCTGCCAACTGGTACCGTGTCGTATGGAGTGATGAGTCAAAATTCGAAATCTTCGGTTCTAAAAGAAGGCAATATATCCGCCGCTCAGCTGGAGAGAGAATGAGCGTTCACTGCATAATTCCTACAGTCAAATTAGGGGGAGGGTCTGTTATGGTATGGGGGTGCTTTGGTGCTGGGGCAACCGCCGACATTGTCAAAATTTAAGAAATCCTTAACAAGGAGGGCCGGCAAATCCTTGAGGACCATGTGATTTCATCAGGAAAGTATTTGATCGGGAATAACTTTATATTTCGACAAGATAATGACCCAAAGCATACAGGCTATGCAAAGATTATTTACAAAATTTACAACAACACGGTATTCTCGAGTTGATGATTTGGCCATCCCAGTCTCCCGATCTCAATCCAATCGAACTTTTATGGGATCACCATGATCGACAAGAGCGAAAAAGCCCTCTAACCTCATTTGCACCTTTGGGATATACAGGGAAAATGGAACAATATCACTTCCTAATATTTAAAAAATCTCATTGAAAGATTACCAAAAATTTTTGCAGCAATTATTAAGAATAAAGGTGGTCATATTGATGAGACCAAAATTTGATCTTAATTAATTGCTAAGTCTTTTATTTTTTGATTTTATGCAATAATATGTAAACTTATAAATAAATTTGATAAACCTCATATTGTGTGTTGTTTGTCTTATTTTAAGAAAAATGTTAAGAAAATGCAGGGTAGGCAATCATTTATGGTTGGTAGTGTATATATATATGTATGATATAGAAAATATTTTCTAAATAATTTTTAAAACCTAAATTGACTGTCTTTTGAATCGAAAGGTGGTCTGGTGACATGTAAGAATTGGTGACTTTGAATAAGCTGATTTCGGTGTCCCTGACTTCCAATCTGATTGATGTAGGATTGTGACGTTGACTGCGAGTGAACATGACTTGCCGCAGAATGAGGAAGTTTGCGGAGTGAGGCGAAAATCAAAGGGGCCAGACTGGATCCAAACTGATCTTTAAGTTCCTCGAGATTAGGTGGTGTTGTATTAGTTAAAGAAAGTGGGGCTGAAACGCAAAGTTATGTATTGGGTTTTTTTAAAATTAGGCTATGTGTAAAAAAGGTTTGGAAAGGTGGTTATACATTACTTAAATTCTAAATTATGCTTAATTACCATTTGTGCCAGAGGTGTTAAATGCCATTTGTGAAGCATTTTCATATCGATGAACGATACAGGCTACCTTGACCAACAGCTGTTTTACGTGTTCGACAGCAACACGCTCGGCTGTAACGCGTTGTGCAGGTGCAATAGAATGCCCTGTACGAGTGATTTGTGCGTGGATCGACTGTGCGTGAGTGGTAAGTGCCATATCAAGATCTTTGATTCTTCGGAATGAATAGAGGGAACGGGGAAGAAGAGTTTAAAAAGATATTACACGAGTACTTAAATCGTGACTAAAAAAACCTATATCCAATTGGAATAAGAATACAAAAAACAAACTTTTATAACAATCTTATTTTTACTGGTAAAGGAAATGGCTGAATTAATTTTGTATTTTAAATATCAATTTAAGTTAATTAATTTAAAATGGTATTATATTCGCTATCCTGAATTTATATAATACTACCTTATAATAATATAATACGAATCGAGGATTTAATAAAAACCAAAAGTCAACAATACAAGTAATATTTATTCATATAATATCCCAAAAAATCTGAGTAAAAGGGGAAAAAAAATTTCTTCATTTAATGTTAATGAATTAGGAAAAATAAAATCCATGACAGCAAATGTCAGGTTCATTACTCTCCTTTGCAAGAATTATAAGTAAAATATATGTCATTTTTATTATGAGTGAAATTTATGTTTTAAATAAGCAAACACAACACAAACCTTACGGGAATTTATTTCCCTCCCCGTTAAAGCCTCGAAGTATCAATAAATGAATCTAAATATAATAGTAATGAAACCTATCACGTGGCAGAATGGCAATCAAAGCCAAGGGTCCCAATTCGTGCAAGGCAGAAATGGCTCCATACAAGGTTGCAGCCATTACTTCCGCTTTCGAGACAATGGAAAAATATGAGGATGCTTCCAATCTGGAGTCTGATATACAAGAAAATTTGATAAACACCATCTAATGAGATAGATATAGTATGATTTAACATAACCAACATTTTAGCTAACTAGAAGCTTCTTAAATTTTCCCAATAGAAGCAATTATTTAATTACCATCTATCCGTTCTGTCCCAAAATCACCGCCTACGATATTAGCATTAGAACCTTTATTACCACCTGTGCTGTCATCTTTCGCGTTTTTTTCGGCCAAAAACTTGGTTATAATTTCCCGGCAAAGCTTGCATATCCTGGCTCTTAGTCTGTTAGACGAATTATCTAGTCTGGAACAAAATTGAGACAGCAATTTGCTAGAAAAATCTCTCAGAGCCCAATGGTTGTCTATTTCTGGCCTCTGGCATATACGGTCACACAGGCAGCAGCTCAGCACGGCCGGAATTAGGGAGTGAGCTTGATGTTTGAGCTGCTGAGAAGCCAGGAAATCACCGGATGTTATAGCGATTGAAGCCATCTTAGAAGCCGTTTTGGTTGTGGAAGGGGAGTATAAAAGATGAGGATTTTCCAGCAAAGCTCGTATCATACGCATGAGGTAAATGAGAACTGCCAGGTTGCGTTGCAGAAGGTTTATCTTGACACCCTGGGCTACAAAACTAGCGAATCTATAAGGGCATAATGGTTTTAAATTTAAAAAAAAATGATAAAATTGAGAGAAAATGATTGATATAAGGTTTAAAGATAGGGTAAGATATTCACGTATAACTTGGTTCTCCAGTTTCCCTGTAATTTTTTATTAGTTCTCCTTCTTGTTAAGACACAGAATACATTGGAATTTCATAAATTTTAGACATTATTTAGTAAGATATTTGAATCTGTATTAAGAAAAAATTTCAAATCTTGTATCTTTGACAATAAAAGATATAGATAAACAAATACATTTTTATATTTTGATTTTTTAATTTCGATAATCAATAATTTTTGTAATTGAAATTTTAAAATATATAACATTTTTTTAATAAAAATACAAAAATAAAAAAGTTTTAGACATTTAACTATGATTTTTTTATTATTATTTATTATATACTATACAAACAACTAAATTAAATTATTGATATTTATTTTGATTATACCAGTATGAAGAATATATAAATAGGTCCAGCTTTTACATTTTCAATGTTTCTCTCATATTTAATTTGAGATAAGCGAACCTTCTTAAGTCTATTATTTTTTAAGAAATAAGTTTATATTTTAAGATTTCGAAATCTTATCATAAAATATCTTTTATATATGTCATTCAGATAGCTTTAAGAATTAAATTAGATATTCAGACAGCAAAGAAAAACTAACCACATATAAATTTTAACAAAAAATGATTTAACCATTATATCAGTATTTAATGTTATTATATTAATTATCACATTACCAACTATTACAATACAAAATGGAGATTGCAAAACTCGACCTATTTTGACCCATTAAGAATTTTTTTTAATATCTATATCTAGTGATTTTTTTAAGAAAATCGGGTGGAGTCCGATTGGGCCTTTGAATTTTTTTAAAATATATCTAAATTTATCAATTTTATGTTGAATTTTTTATGTAAAATAAAAATATTTGATTTTATTTATAGAAACTAGACGCCATATAACATATATCTTTTATTTTGAGTAATTATACAAATTAATTTCAATATTTATATAAATTTGGGCCAGGCCGGTAAATTTTTTTTAAAAAACAATTTCAGATCAGGCTCTGGGCTTGAAAAATTAGGCCCAATGCAGATCACTAGCTCTTATACTTCTCCTCTATGGCTATCTATTTTTACAACCATATCTGTATTGAGTATTAGTTGGTTGGATAATCATAAATAACTTGTTTAATTTTCTGTGACTTTACTATACTATTTATAGATTTGGTATTTTAGCTAGACAGCCATTAATATAGAAAGAAATAATCAATTTATTTTCAAAGAGTATCAATCAAAATATTAGCTAAAAATTAAAAAAAAATCAAAATTTTAAGGAATAATCATAGATTTGTGAGGCCTTGTCTGAATTTTTGTATAAATTGTCTAACCCAGCCCAGCCCAAAAAAATTTCTTCCACAAATTGTGTAGCCTGTTATAAAAAAATTTTTAATTTTCCTGGCCCAATTATATATATTTTTCTTTAGTTCAATCATAAATATTTATTATATTACATTGGAGGAAGAAAAATTTATTTTAATACTAACATCAATTAAAAATAATAAAATAAAATAATATATTTTCGATGTTTTTAAAGGATACATACATATGTATCTAAGATACATAAAAATAAATAAGTATCTGTATATATACTTATTTTATAATTTGTTAAAACTCTTATCAACATACTACCTACTAAAAGTATAAATAGTGAAGCTCACAGTTCGGTTTGATCCAGAAAAAAAATAGACATGAAGAGTTGATCTAAATTTAAAAAATTAATAGGTTATAATTAAAATATTTAATAAAAATGGAACCTAGGAAGTAAAGAGTGCAGGCCTGGGTCAGTAGCTAGGCTCTGGAAGGCTTGAGCTCTTTTCAACTCTTCCGAACCTACGCAAGCTTCAGTTATATCCTTGTAGTATAGTTGTTGTTCCTGGTGAATATATTTAATATATGTAATATACCAATGTTGAAATGTTGAATGTATATATATTTACTTAACAACTAGATGATCTAATCCTTTCAAATTATCCAATCTTTTTACTTTAAAAAACAATAGCTAATGCTAGTGCTCTTAATTATAAACTCATTAAAGTGGCTAAAAAATACCATTGATATAGGAAGATCCTCCGCGAGATGGCGCCATTTACGATTCCTTTTGTGTTTGTGACCTCGTTTGGCGAGGTCGGGGCTAGATGGGACGGAAGTTGTAGTATGAGTTTTGGGGGTTTTGGTTCCGCTAGAAGGCACATTTAAATTAGCAGAAGGGTTAGATGGTACTCGTTGATCTAAATATATATTTATATACAATATAAGTTCTTTCTTTATGTTAATATGAAAGCAAGATTCAATCTTAAATAGATACACAGATTACAAAAAAAATGTGGCGGTGGATGATATACACCTAGAAATGGTCGTTTCACACAAGATATTTTTAGCAGAACAGATAAAAGAAAAATGATTAGGTTTATCTCATAAGACTTACTCGTTTTTTTTTAAATTTATTCTTATTTTTTATGACTGTGCCGATACACAAATTTTTAACGAATCTGACATGATATTTCTAAAAAAAACCGATCTGATCTCGATATTTATATTGATTTATTTATCATCCATCTTGGAACCAATAAATATCATTTAAAATATTTGCAATGTTTATGGGATGAGTGTGTTAAACAGCTCCATTTAGTGGACATTTTGCCAATAGAAACCCAAACCTATCTCCCTTCTGTGGGGAAAATCAATAAGCTTGAGAGTAATATACTTTTGGACAAAAATCTTGAGTTAACAGTTTTTAAAAAAAAATTTAAATCAAGCAGTTTAACAACACTAGCTGAATGTGATTTGTTAAATATTTTAACATTTCTTTATTGTTACAAATATAACAAAAAAATAGATGGCAGAAAGGTTTGGGCCTTTATTTGAAATCTTAAGGCTTACTTATTATTATATTTCTTAAGGGGGTCGTGTTTAAAAATCTACCCGTAACCAATGACATATATAATACCTAGACTGACGATTCATTCATTAAAATGCGTTTTTAAGCGTCGTTAAAAGCATATCAGCTGGAACCGCCATTTTGGTAACACATATAGTATAATTATTCTCATGTTAAAAACTACTATTTAATTAATAACTTGTTGATTCCTTATTATCTCGATGATCCGGTAATTCTTTAATAAAGTTTGCATCATATATAGGAATAAATTAGGCTCTCATTTAAAATTTTGATAAAGATTAGTGTAACCAAGATGGCGTCTCCAGCTGATTTGCATTGATGTACACTTTTAATGAATGAATCGTCAGTCTAGGTATTATATATGTCATTGCCCGTAACAGTCTTTTTAACAACCTTAATTACAACAAATAAATTTTATTTTAGTTCCTTTCATTAATTTATCGTTATAAAATTATTTATAAAATAATATTATATAATAAATAAATCATAAAATATCAAAAGCAATAAAAGTATTGGATCAGTTTTTAAATATTGGCCTGATCCAATATTTTTTTTAAAAATGCTAAATATTGGTGTCGATTTATTCAAATATTTCTATTGGTGGGGGGTGGGGTAAAATCATTATATAATGTGTTACCTGTCGAGATATTTTCGGGTGTAATCGGCTGCACACCTTCGATACATAACCAGTGAGCTATTTTGGGCAATTAAAAATATAGACTTATTTTTGATAAAAAAATATATTGTTTCCTTAGATACAATAGAAGATTAATCGCTTCTTTCCATTAAATTCTAATACAAGTAATCATTTCAATCAATGACATTATTTGTCATTGATCTGACTGAACAAAAAACCCCAAAAAAATGTTTAATCCATGGAAAATAATTGCCTTCCAAGGCCTTATAGTTATCAATATAATGTATATTTAATATATATTTAAGTAAAAAAACCTTTGACACTAGAATCCAATGGAATTTTAGGCAGTTGAGATAGGGCTGTTTGGGCTAGATCTAGTTCGGGGATATTTTCCTCCTGGAAGAAAAACTCTTTACTGTTGGAATAGGCATTGCGAAAGGGTAAAAATGCTGGGTCAGAAAAGCCATAGAATGGCTGTTTTATAGATAATAATGATATAAAATACTGTTAAATTGATTTCAATTTCATTGGATAATATAATATATATATCCTTAACCCTCCTTAGATATTTTTTATCCTAAAATTTTCATCTTAATCTTTGTGGTGTGACTCAAGGATGGTTCAAATACAATATAATACAAATGTTGGTGTAGATAGTGATGCAAAATCTCAGAAAGTGTAGATAGTGATGCAAAATCTCAGAAAATTATTATACAAGCCTGATAATTTTGCTCATATGGCACAAAAGTTAGAACATGGCTTAGGCAAAGCTAATATTGAGTTAGCAATTTTTTAAAATCAGCGCAAATGAAGTGATTATGATTAATAGGTGTAAATTTTTTAAATTTAAAAATATTCATATTTTTATATTATTTGTCATTCCATTTCTTTACTATTCTATTAAGAATCCCTTGATTTTTTATTTTGTAAAAAACAATCAACTAAAATCTTAAATTTATATTTATTCATTACTTTATCAGACCTTCATATTATATTCATAAAAAATTGATTAATTAACATTGTGGATCATATATAATAAATTATCAATTATAAAAACTTGCACTTATTCAAATTACCATTTAGTAATTATTTAAGTCTTAAATTGGTTGCTATAAAATAATTTTTTAGGTAGAAATATGATATTCTTTTTTAAAATATACATCTGAGCTAGGAAGTCTATATAAATATGAAAGTTTTCAGGATCCATTGACAAGAAATCAATGTCACTTAAATTTAGCAAAAAAACAGATCTGGGTGCTTGATAGATCCCTTATAATATTTCCAAACATGGAAGACTCCAATTATTTATGCGTGCTTGTAAACCAACCCTAAACCTGGAGTAGCCTCAAAAGAAATTTGGTCTCAAATTTTAGTCTCACAAGTCTGAATGTTAAAAAGCCCAATTTGGGTCAATTTTTATAAAAAATGGCTTAATTAAGATTATAACCAAACCTAAGATTTTGTTCATAAGTGTTAGAAAGGTCTGGACATCTATTTGTCAAAAATGTAGGCTTAAATAATATTTTAGATAAAATCATATTGGCCATTTTAAAAAATGATGCAAATCAGCCTTTTTAACAATACTACTAAAAAAAATAAAATAGTCATGGTATGACTTAAAAAAGTTATGATAAATACTTTTTATAAATTTAATTATAAGTTTACCTCAAAATTTCTATTTTTTAAGGCCTTGGAATAATCTTTAACAGTAAGAAATGTTCGCTTTTCATGTCGAGAATATTTTTCAGCATCCTTTATATAGGAATAAACATATTTTAAAAAATTGACATGAAAAGATTAAAAAAATTATAAATAAGTGTCTAATTTTTATAGAAATAAAATATTCAATAAAGATTAGACAATATTAAATGTGAAATATTCTAAATAAGTAATTAAATAAATGTATATTATTTTTAATAATTATAAAAGTAAATTACCTGAATGAGAATGCTAAGCCAATATGACACGTTTTCAGAGATCAGATTTGAAATGGAAGAATCTAAATTAGGAATGCCAATACTTTCTGCTATAAGTCTAATGGAATTAGGTGATATATTTGATCCAGTATAAAATAAATCTACTGGCTCCATAAGTAATAAATAAATATATATTGAAATAAGGATTTTTTTTTAATTTGGATAGTTGTTATATTTACAAGATCATTAACACGCTCATACTTATTTTTGTAGCATCGTGAATTTCTACAAAAAATGAAAATAAAATTTAGATCATTTGAATCCACATGGTAAATATGTATCTGTGGAAGTTTGGCGCTTTGTGACCTTTCAAGAAATATAAAATTTAGAAGCGGTACTTCATCCATTAATATTTATTCTATGAACTAATTTTATTTAAAATGTAATATTTAAAATCAAAAAATATTTATATATTAGGTTTTGATTTAAAAAATCCCTAATAAGAATGGAAGTTGCTTAAAAGTCTGGAAAATATTTAGTGATTATTTTAGATATTAACGGTATATACAAATACATTTTAATATTTTGAATGCCTAAAAAATTTAAAAAATCTTGGGTGATAATATATATTATATCCTATCAGGAAAAAGAGCCCTCTAGACCTCCACACCAATAACTCTGATGGCATCCCGTTCCTCATAAAAAAATATAGAAAAATATAATTTTAATATATTGATTCAATTACCCCTCTTAGGCCCATGCCCCTTTTAAATTTAATTTTTTTTATATTTAGGTTTCCATGGAGAGGCTTATACTATAATATATTTCCTAACTAAAAATTAATCTAAAAAATATTATAAAATCTATACGACAAAAATATAGTATAACTTACACATCATTTATATGTTAGAAGCAGAGTTGTGCATTTGCTATTTATAAAAAAATTTGAGCAACGATCTTAAAAGATCCGTAAAATTTGAAGATCTTTTATTTTTAAAAAATTTTGTGTAACGATCTTCAAAGATTTTCATGATATTTATTTTTTTACCCCTTTATTAAAAGCCCAGATGTTTTTCAATTTTATTAATATAATATTTCTTTTATGTTTTATACCTCTCCTCCTGCCTTGATGAAAATTGAAAAACATCTGGGCTTTTAATAAAGGGGTAAAAAAATAAATATCATGAAGATCTTTGAAGATCGTTACACATAATTTTTAAAAAATAGAAGATCTTCAAATTTTACGATCTTCAAAGATCTTGCTCAAATTTTTAAGCTAGATCTCGCTCAAAAATCTTCAAAGAAGATCTTTTGTACAACTCTGGTTAGAAGCACAGACATAATATAATACACAACATTCGCATTTCGCTATTCCCCCTCCCCCTCCACCACTAATATATAGAATATTACTCTGAGCAAAACAATTATTTATAAGAAATATATGTAAAAGTTAATAACTTTTTAAAATAATGACTTTAATTTAAAATTTTTAGAAACTAAATAACTTTATAAAAAAAGTTAAAAGCTTATATTTTTATCTTTAAAAATGTAAATATGACTTGCAATATGTGGACTTAAAGACCCTGAATAAATATATTTAGAAAACAGTCTTCCCATAATATCAAATATATGGGTGGGATAATGAATTTCACTTAGATTTATCAACTTCATTTAATTTTTTGCACTGTTATTCTTCATTTTCTATCTTAATGCTACCTAGATAACAATATATTCATTTTAGAGCAAACTTTATTTGCACTTCTTCTTGAATTATATCATAGAGTTTAACTGGGGACGTTTATTTTTATAAAATCCTAATTGTTCTCCCATGTTTATGCACTGATAACTTATTTTAACAATTTGACCTACCTCATGACATTTTCCCTTATCTCCTTAGCAAGTCCTGGAAATAGTCTTTGGAAAAATAAACTTGACCGAAAAACACTACAAAAGAATCTGACAGAAAAGTGTGAAAAAATCTTTAAAAAAAACTATGCGAAAAAACTGAGGGGATATAAACAAACTTAGGAATAAAATGCCGTTGAAAAATCGTTATTAAAAGAAAAAATTATAAAATTTGCAGCAAAAAATAATATCTTTTATGAAATGGAGAAAATATAAATTTTATTTCAAATTAATTTTAATTCTAAAAATGAAAATAAAAATATTATAAATTAAATTCGAATGTTATAATAATATATAATAAATCAGATTTGTTGTTAAATGCAAAAAAATTAATCCTTATTAAAATCAATGTTTAATTTTGTTGAAATTGAATTAGATCCACGTTTTATTATAGTTAGATAATTATATCACATTTTATATTGGTTATAATTTTATTTATTTTCTTATAATAATTTACATTTTATTTTTCCTATCTTAAATTACATTTTCTTTTCTATTTATATATCCTTTTTTTAAACAATATAAAAAAAATAACTAATACAAATTGATGTATAAAAAAAATGATAATATAAAATTTTCACCGATTAAATTTAAATACAAATTGATATATAATAAAATAAATCAATTGCCAAAATAAATAATAAAATAATATCGATCAACATATTCAACACTTACCAATTCACACTAACAGTAATAACAATTCTTGTTTAAATATCAAATATATTTTAACAGACAACTTCATATTATGCAAATTTTCTTAATAAATTTCTGTTTTATCTTTTTGTTAAATATATTCTCGATTATCATTTTAATAATAATTTTTTATATAAAAAAAATCTAATACAAAATAATATATATTAAATAAAATAAAAATAAACAAAAATATTATCATTAATGATAACATAAAACTTTCAAAATTTTGTATTATCAATTATTAATAAAATTATTATATTAATATTTACTTTTTTTTAAATATAATAAAAGGATAATATAAAATATCTAAATCACTAAGTGGAAACGTGAATTAATAACTTAGAATCAGGCGCGTACGCAGCGGAGGGGGGGGGACAAATCCCCCCCCCCCCCCAATTCAAAAAATGCAGATGCCGGATTATATTTTTCAAAAATATTATTGTTAATATTAATTTATATTTGTTAATATTTATTCTTATCTCATATATACATATATATATATATTTTATTTATCACATTCATCTACTAAGTTATTTTATCAATCAATTTCGATTTCAAGTTTTCCTTGGCGTAATTTACCTATTATTTTCAAATTTTAGTGGAGTAATATTTATCTAAATTTCTAATAAAATAATAATTATCTCTGAAACTCCTTGTCCAACAGGGAGAAAAAAATTGCAAGCTTGTCCAACGAGATCGAGTCTCCGCCACAGTAACAGCTATTTTGGAGTTAGAAGAGCTGATTATTAATGCTATTACTGAAATATCACAATGGCTTGAAAGAAATATTTCCTCAGAAGCAAGAAAATTATTGGATTCAATACTTATTCCAAATTTTTTTCTCATTAGAATGTATTATTTAATTATACAACTATTTTATGTAATACTTTTAAAAAAATAACATTGACTTGATTAAGAAGATGAGAATAGCGGAGAGCATTTTATTAGAATTCAAGGAAATAGAGCTAGTGTTGTTGAAGAATTTCATATTTTATATGTTATTGTTGAGTCAAAAGCAGAGCTATACGTGTTAAATATTTGTCCCCCTCGACTTGCAGCAAGCAAGCTCATCATCAAAACATTAATATAGGATCAGTAGAAGAGTATTATAAAACAAATGTCCCCTCTCCCAACCTTTTTCATATGGTGATAGAAAAAAAATATAAATATTTGTTATATTTTTATCATGAAGATGTTAAAATATCTTATGATGCCTTATTAGATGAATAACTATGATTAAAAGATTAACTATGGTTGATACAGTCCCAAAAAATGCTATGGATGCTTTTTATTTCAAACACATTTTAGATTATACTCCCAATTATTAAAATGGTTATATATATATTAGCAGCTCTTTAGTAAACTAATGAGAAAACATTCACTTTTTTAAGAAGAATAACAGAGCCTTGCAGAGGTACCATTTGCAGGACCAGGCTCAGATTTTATTTTAAAATTTTTTCCGGCCCGGGTTTTTTTAAAAAAATTTTCAGGCCCGGCCCGGCTGGCTTAGCCCGAATTTTTTAAAATAAATTATATTTATTTTTGATATTTATAGCTAATAATGGCGATTTCAAATATTTGGTTTTAAAATATATAACTCGGCTCGGATATTTTTTCTTAAAAAATTTTCAGACCCAGCCCGGGTGTTTTTAAAAAAAAAAATTACGAGCCCGGCCCGGGTATATTTAAAAAAATTAAAATACGGTCCGGCTCAGGGGCCGGGCCTGCAAGTCTGTGAAAAACATACCTATGAAATACAACATCTGAAAGTAGATTGAATGATTTGGATCTTTTGAATATTCATAGACATTTAACGCCAAGCAAGGATTGATAAATGAAAAATTAGCTCAAAACATACAAAATACAATTATTCCTAAGAAACATTTTGTGTATTAATTTATATTTACAACATTTAAATTTTTTATACTATATATATTTTAAAAGCTCAAAAAATTCAAATTTCAATTTTGGGTAATTTAGGTTAATATAATAATTTATTATAATTTTAATGCTTTATTATTTAATTTTAAAATTTATATTTTCAATTTGTATTTTAAACCTAAATCATCTGGTGTAAATTATTTAAAATGTCATCACATATGGATATCGAAGTCGATGTAATTATGTCAGCCAATGATAATATTAACGAAGTGGAAGGTACCTAGAAAATGTTAATAACAATAATACAAATTCCATTTCAAAATTTGAAAAATATTTCAAAATAATGCAAAAACTACAGGTGTCTATAAATTTATTTGTAAAATATAGAGAAAATATAGCCTCAAATAAATCTAGCAGCTATAACCTCAAAACACCTAATGGTAATTGTCATTAGAGATCTGCAAAGTTAGGCCCGGCCCGCACCCCTGGCCTACTTTTATTTAAAATAATCGGGCCGGGCCGGGTCGGACCTTGGAATTTTTTTTAAATATATCTAAATCTATCAATTTTATATTGAATTTTTTATGTAAAATAAAAATATTTGATTTTATTTATTGAAACTAAGCGACATATAACATATGTCTTTTAATTGAGTAATAATGTTGCACATGACAATATTTCTTAGAAACTGGCTGATAGAGTCATTGTAGATTTTATAATTGATACAGTTATGCCATAGTTGATAATCCATCATTTACCATGATGATTAAAACTATCCCCTGGTACAATAA